CTTTCATGATAAACGTGACTCAATATAACATTGCGACTACAGTAAAAAAGCTTTTACTGTTCTAAAAACACAGATTTATGAGCAGTATTGGATTTGAAGATGTTAGAAACACACGTCATTGTTGTCATGTGGTGAATGTCATCAGCACTCCTGCAGTCGCTCTGAAAAAGCTGTGCCAGCTGAGTCAGCCGGCTGCTCTCAAAACGCTATCGCGGTACTTTGATGCCACACGTGACAGTGACGTGGCGTCGGCGCCGGTTCAAGTCGGACTAAATTTCTAACCGGCATGCACTGCTTGAAGTCAGCCGCCGATCGGTCTGCGCAGTGCTGCATGAAGTCGAACGCACCTATAGAGTTTCTACAGCAAAAATAAATCATACAAAGACAAAAATAGATTAATCACTCTTTCGTATTTATCTACTTCCCCCAGACACTGAAACTAAACAGCACGTGAATAATAAGGCAAACATTGTTTACTTAATATAATAATTGCGAAAACAACTCGTCATTCTAGCACAATATTTTTTTTCCCCAGACTGTACATAATTAATAAAGCAGTTCTTTTTAAACATTGTTCTGTAAACCAGATGGAAAGTTTGGAAACAGTTTATGACCTTAGGAGTCTGACGTACAGTAGAGTAAGTGGTGTTTTCAACCACATACTATGGATTGTGATCATGTGTATTCTGCTGTTGAACTTGAAAGGTGTCATCTTCAAATATAACACGGCTTAGTTCTCTTTTCTGCCCGCAAATACACGTCATATTGGTAAAAGGAAGTGATGCTATCCATTTTAGATCCAGATACTGTATGTATGTAGCTATCTGTGTGATTTGACCATGTAGAGGTAGCGGTCAAAACCTGGCATTCAGAATTTAGCCTCTGAGACGCTACAGAGGTCATTAGGACTAACCGATTTTGAGGGCTTATCAGTTGGCGTTTTCAACCTTTTTCAGACGAAGGACCCTTTAGAGTTGTTTTTTAAGCCTGGCCTGGCCTCTAACATTCTTATATTACCACATCCTACTTCTATTGTTTACGTTACAATTATTTACAATACTGATGTACAGTGTGATATAGGCCTATGTACTTGCACATTGCATTCTAATTTTAGTGAATGCGTTTAATGCTGCAGAGACAAAAATTTTTTTTACTGAATTTTGGTTTCTTAAATTTATTTGTAACGGATTTTAGTCATTTTCACAAAATTTTGTTTAATATTAAACTATAGTTGGTCTAACAGTTAGCTGTAAACTCACACAAAACTGACCTGGAGACTTGAGCTTCATGAAATAGTTAAAGTATTATATAGGCTAGTTGTGGATATTCGGCTACAGCTTGTACAAATAAAACGCCTTCGCCCTTCACACTGGAGTGGATTTCAGCTTTTTGGAGGGGAAAAAAGGAAGCAAGATTAATGTGTCTCGTATGTGGTTTTGGGAAGTATGATGCGTGAGAAACACTGTTTCTTCTCGCCTGACCTCTTGTGGTGGTTTTTAATTTTTTTAATTGTCTTAATGTGACTAAATTCACTAAAGGCAAATGTATTTTTAGCAACACATTTCCCTCTTTATATAAATACGAAAAATACTAATCAATCATAAAATTATTATTTTTTTAAAGTATCTATGGTTTTGATTTTGCAGAACAGTGGTCCTACCGGAAACTGTCTGCAGTCTTCTACTGCCACCTACTGATAAAAAATTGACAGGTCAGATAGGTTTTCATTGGGAAACTACACTAAACAAACAAACAAACAAACAAAAAACCTAAGGTCAGGGTTTCAGTTTAATTGTGAGTAAGGGTAAGGTTTAGCACCTAAGTTTTGGTGAAATTCTGATATGATCATGAAGATCTTCTGATTTAGTGCTGACTGGCACAATGTACTCTATTGAAATACAGACATTTTCAGTTTTTTTTGTTTTTGTTTTGTTTTTACTGGTGTTTTGAATTTTGCACTTCATTGCATTGTTGTTACCAGAAATGTCTGTAAAAGTAATGGATAATGTCCTGACAGAAAACAGTGTGCTACAGTGTAGGATAGGCTAAATATGAATTTTTCTTAATAGGGAATTCACGTTATTCTGAACACATCAGCTCTGAGATCTTCAAGCTCTATAAAACTTCCACAGATTCTTTCTGACATTGTGAAAAAACATCTTGAAGAATGAGAAGCCTGATGTGTGTGCTGTTCCTCGTGCTCTTCTGCTCTAAACAGACGACTTCACAAGGTGAGGACTTTCATTTTGAATAAAGACAAAATATATTGTTTTCAGACAATTTATGGCAGGTTTAGTTTAATTTGTTGCATTTGCATAGGTTTGGATAATATTGCTTTTATACCCATTCTCTCCTAAAACTATTTTTTTTATATAATCAACAGCTGATGCTTATGCAGTTCCTGTGTGGTGTTGCTTTGATTTTGTCGACTTCGAAATTCCAGCCAAAAAAATGGTCAGTGCTGTGAAGACACATTCACATTACCCTGTCCCTGCCATTGTGTAAGTATTTAAACTCTGAAATATAGGAATGTGCTCCTTTATAGATGAATTCTAAGTGAATGATAAAATGATTATGTGAATGCCAGCACTTTAAACAAACATTTTGAATGTGAACTTTTCCCCCTCAGGGTTACGACACCTAGAACTGAAATTTGTGTGAAACCAGACGAGGCTTGGATAAAGAAGTATAATGGAGAAGCAGCACTGGAAATGAAAAAACAATACAGATGCACAAAATAATACTGTTATTGCTTTATACAACTGTCCTTTCTTAATAAATAATTTGTTTGCTGTATCTCCTCATCAGTATTACAAGATATCATTAAAAAAAAAACTGCTAAATGTAACAACTGTTCACATTTAGCACTCAATATGCTGACATGTGCAGGCAGACAAAGCAAATGAATATGGTTGGATATTACCGGGTGTCTCAACATGGTGTAAACTCCTTTGAGTGTGTGTATATTTGTGTAAATTAGCATAAATGCTCATAGGGAAATGTAGCAATGCTGCAATTGGTATATCATTTACACGTATACAGTAAAAAATATCAAACTATATATATATATATATATATGGCTTGTTTTCAGTCCTATTTCTGCTGGTCTGTCTTCTTGAGATGTGTGCTTTAACTAAACACATCTGAACCAGTTAATCAAGGTCTTTGGGTTTTCTGTAAGGCGTCAAGGTTTTGCACCTAAGTTTTGGTGAAAGCAGATGATAATGAAGATCTTCTGATTTAGTGCATTTAGAGCTGACAGGCCTGAAAAAGAGGAAGCTGTAGGCCATGTTATTTTTGCATTTTCGGTGATTCTGAAAGAAAAGTATTTTCCACATCCTCATGCACAACAAAGCAGAAAAAGGATGAGGGAAAGGAAGAATAACAACAACAACAACTACAGCAGGGTTCCAGCACTTTGTACTTAGACCCCTAATAATTTAAACTCAGAATCTTTATACTCAGAAATGGATTTACAAGAATGTCTTTTGATGAATATTCTTTCTTATATAATAAAATGCTTAGACATCATTTTGGATAGCTACATAGTGTTACATGTGTGTTTTTTAAAATTTTTTACTTTATTAATGTTCAATGGCTCTCAGTTAACAACCATACAGGGTTTTATTTACTCTGGAGTTGAGTTGTGAAATGCTGACTGTGTAGTGACTTTTGTGTGGACAATTCAAAGGTTAGTTTATTTTGGCATGTTCATATCGGATGGAGGTTGAAGAGCTTTAATGCAATCAAATAGCTTTAATGCACCAGCTTCATACCACCAGAAGAGCTGTGCAGAGGTGGATAAAGTACACAAATCCACTACTTGAGTAAAAGTACAGATACTGCCGGTCATAAATTACTCCATTACAAGTGAAAGTTGTAAAGACAGATTTTTACTCGAGTAAAAGTATAGAAGTATACTTGCTTTTAAAAGTACTTAAGTACCTAAAGTAAATTTCTTTTTTTATGTCAACGGAATGTTTTATTATTGTTCTATTATTGTTGTATGTAATACTTGCAATACCTTATTCCTAAGCAGGATGGTAGTGATCTCACACAGCTCTGACAGTGTGTGCACACATCTACGTGTAGCCATTCATCCACATTTGAACCGAGTAGACAGTGAAATTAAAACCTAGCTACACAACTGTAGCTGTATAAATTTACAACAGCAACACTGCTTTAACAAAAAAGCAAAACAGCAAGATTTATTTGACATCAAAACTAAAATTTCTAAAATGCTCTCTAATCGCTTTCACGGTACTTTGATGTCATGCACAGAACGGTCTGTGCAGTGTTGCTTTCAACACCTACTGTTTTTTGTTAGGAGACGGTTCTTCTGTGGCTTTATAGGTATTATTTTCGTTTACACAATTTAGCAAAATTAGATAATACTGTGTCTAATATATACCACAATATTAACTTATTATTGAATTGTAGTAAATAAATATCACATTTGCAACTGGTTAGTGTTCAAAAAATGCTGGGAAAACACTTCACATAACCCTACAAGAGTGATTACTGATAGGCTGTCTAAAAAAAACAGAAAGAAAAAAATGCCACGTTTAAGAGAAGAAAAAATCACCCACTGACTTTTAAAGCTGCTACATAGTAATGACTTTCTACTTTGAGGACATTGATAGAAATGTAGTGGAGTGAAAAATACGATATTTGTCTTTCAAATGTAGTGAAGTTAAAGTCATAAGTTTCCAGAAAAAATAATACTCAAGTACAGTACATATACTCAAAAAGTGTTTTTAAGTACAGTAGGCTACTCAAGTAAATGTACTGTCCACCTATGGAGCTGTGACAGAGCGAACAAGATTCTCCTGCTTCATTCGAACTTCATTTGTCGAATGCAGAAGAAATTATATGAAGCGCACAGGACAGACTCAAAAATAAGTTGGGAAACCCATGTGTTTGAAGTCTAGTTAAGTGCGAAATAATTGCAATGATCAGGCAAACCACTATAGAGTTGATGTTGCTATATAGAGTAAGAACCAGTAAATGCGATTTACAGGTTTCATAGAAAAAGAATGATGTGTGCCAAATGAGTCGCTGTAGAAATCGAATACTTTAATGGTTGTGGACGAAATAGCTCAACACGAGAGCCAACGTGAACGTAATGACATGTGAAATAAAACGTCATGTTTTAAAGAACAGTGGCTTGATTAAGTTGTGGAAATAGAGGATGATGGGGACAGAACTTAAACAAAACTCTGAGAAATGTACAGGTGCAAACCGTACTACATGGGGCTGTTTAGATAACTGTAAAAAGAATTCACATGTTCACGTTTTTTGAAAATATTTGTTTATTTATATTATTGTCAGACCAGAGACACGGAGAGCTTCAATAATAGATTTATTAAAGATTCAAACAGGAGATAAACCATATGCCACTACACATAGACCTGATGAAGAGATCACTGGCACATGAATGTAATTGATGAAGAGGGACAGGTGAGGGAGCGTGAAGGATTATGGGTAATGGAGTCCATGGGGAAAATACAGGAGAAACAGGCGGGACCATGACAGTACTCCCTCCCTCCTGGAAGGCGCGTCCTCGCGCCTAAATGGTACAACCAGGGAGGGGGGGTGGGCATCCTGGAGGCTGGTGGAGGACAGACAGGACAGGACGGTGCTATCGGCACCGGGAGTCAGGGAGGCCATGGAGGTGCCGGGAGCTTGGGAGTAGAGAAGATGGAAACAGTCGTCGTGTCCGTGGTGCTGGAGTAGGAAGCGAATGAGATGGAGAAGGTTGCGGTGGCCATAGCAAGGAGGCTGGAAACGGCCATAACTGGAGCAGGAAGAGCGACTCTCTTGTCCAATCTTCGTGGCCGTGCCACAGGCAACCCCCCCCATTTATTTGGAGATACTACGGGACATGCATGCCACCCAGGCACATGCCAACGCCATCATGGCCACTGCGGCAGATTCTGGACAGCACTCGGGAGTCGGTGCGGGAACGGAGCTGAACTCTAAGGTAAGACCAGGCCATAAGCTAAACTCTGGGATAAAAGCAGCCTCTGGGCTGGGCTCGAGGGTGAGATCTGGAGTGGGCTTGTAGGGAAATTCTGGATATGGTTGTTGGTCTGTAGCAGTCACATAGTGTGAAAATAGTGGATCAATCTTCTTGAGTATCAGACAGAGTGTGTGTTCTTGGAAACTCAGAGTGGAGCGGCTTGTAAACTCTGGAGCGGAGCGGAGACTTGGAATATGGAGGATTCGGGCTTGGGGTGAGCTGTGGCGATCCACCCATCACAAGATGGAACCAGAAAGACATCACTTGAGTCTTCATCCACTTCTCCAACACAGAAACTGGAACCCATTTCTTCGAGGACACGATTAATTAAATCCATCAGACACATCTCATAAACATCCAGAAGCATGATGATGATTTGCAGATCGTCATCTAGTCCATTCAGCAAAACGTGATTCAGAACCGAATCGCTCCAACTCACCCGATGGACATGCTCCACAAACTCCTCCACATAACTCTCCAGAGGATGGCCGTCTTGGTGGAGATGGAAAAGCAGATACTCCTTTGGAGAGCCATTGTTGTAATCCATATTGTGGTCTGGTCTTCTGTCACAACTTACTACAGACCAGAGACACGGAGAGCTTCAATAATAGAAGATTTATTAACAAAACAAAGATTCAAACAGGAGATAAACCATATGCCACTACACATATATGAGACCAGACAATATTGGGGAGAACATAGAAATTATATATAATGTCATGGTGATGAAGTGATCACTGGCAGGTGAGGGTAATTGATGACAAGAGACAGGTAAGGGAGCGTGAAGAATTGTGGGTAATGGAGTCCATGGGGAAAACACAGTAGAAACAGGCAGGGGAACAGACGGGACGGGGACAATTATACTATATTATATTATAAGTCTAATAAATAATTGACCTCAAAAAGGGAATTCACGAACAATATCTGTTTCATTTTTTTATATTAGCTATATTATATTATATTACATTATATTATATTATTATAAAGAATCGAACTCCTCTGCGTGAGATTTTTTAAAAATGATTTTTAAATACAATTTCTTGGTAAGTAACACAGCACTGTAAAAATGGTTTCTCAGGTAAAATGATTTCATTTAGCCTATTAACATCAAGGGTCAAATCAAATATAAATAGCACATTACAGTTAAAAGTTACACACTTTTTTTATGTGTCCTGGACAGGTCTGGTATAAAGAATATTTTTGCTCAGGTGGCCGAAATGTCCGTCCAATAGGGAAATTTTTTGCTCAGCAAGAAAAAAAATGAGGGAACATTGATATTAGCTATATTATGTTATGTTATATTATTATAAGGAATTGAACTCCTCTGCGTGAGATTTTTTTCAATGATTTTTAAAATCTTGGTAAGTAACAAAGCACTGTTAAAAAATGTTTTCTCGTGTAACCTAAAATGTGCATCATTTAGTTACATCAAGGGTCAAATCAAATATAAATCATAGTAACGACATTAATTTGTGGAGATTCAGTGCATTGAGTTCCACAAATCTGAATGCATTATTTGTAAATTGACTGTTAAGATTTTGCACAATTTATTATCTGTAATATCATTGTGTTGCCACTAGATGCCTGTATAGCCCTATGTAACAATCCCTAGTGGCTAAGACGTTGCACATAATTTACACATAAATCACACATAAATTAATTTTTTTACATTTTAATTTGGATACCATATACTATACTACTACATATTGTTTAGATATTATCAATGGCTACTTTTTTGTCTTTATTTTCTCGTGTAACCTAAAATGTGCATCATTTAGTTACATCAAGGGTCAAATCAAATATAAAGAGCACATTACAGTTAAAAGTTACACACTTCACAGCAAGAAAAAAAATTAGAGGGAATATTTTATGGCAGTGCATTGAAATTCAGTGTCAGCAGTTTGCCAAAAAGAACACAGAATGTTTTATGCACCATTTACACGTGGTAGGAAGCAGGTGTACATTTCTTTCGTACCAACTAATATTTTGAAAATATGAACATTTTCATGAATTCAAAAGTTTACGTCAGAATGGCTTTTCGAACGATTTACACAAAAATTTGTTCTGCTTGTGTTTTTTATGAAGGAGGCCCTTTGTCTGTCTCTCTCCTCCTTTCCCCCTATTTTCTCTACTCTCCTCCTCTCCTCTTCTAGTGAAATATTTCCATTTTTTAAATATTTCCTTCATTTTTATTGAATATAAATGTATTTCCGATCTGATATGTGATGGGAAAAAAAGAGAAGAATGAGTTCGGCAAAAGGTGGATTCAAACTCTGGTTGATCAGGTCAACCAGGGCCGTTTCTAGCCAATTTGACGCCCTAAGCGAAATCCCTATTTTGTGTTGCCACTAGATGCCTGTATAGCCCTATGTAACAATCCCTAGTGGCTAAGACATTGCACATAAATCACACATAAATTAATTTTATTACATTTTGATTTGGATACTATATACTATACTACTACATATTGTTTAGATATTATCAATGGCTACTTTTTTGTCTTTATCTGTTTTTTGTTCAATTTTTTTGTTGTTGTTTCTTGAAACATTGATTTAAAGTGTCAGTTATTGCATTATTATTTCAGTCAAACCTATAAAACCCCTTTGTTACCCCAAACTACATATAAAAGCTTTATCAGTGGCATAAAAGTAACCAATGCAGCTACTTAATCATTTGCTACTCGTTAACGCGTTAACGTCCCCTTTAAATAACGTGACGCTCTGCCCTCTATGACGCTGCTCCCATTAAGCGCTGTTGGAAGTGAATGAATTGATTCAGCATTTCGACACCTCCGTAAGGATGCATTTAACTCGACAAAGTGGTCTAATAAAGGATGTATTGATCTCGTGAATTAGCGAATTTTACTATACAAATTATTTTTTAATTGGATGTTAAAGTTTATATGGGAATATTACATGACACGCTGATCCTTTAACAATGCATTGGCGCAAAAAACGCACACCTTTTGGACAAAAGTGCCACAAATACTGCCTAAACAAAATACAGATTTTGTGCACTTTATTTGCTGTACCAATATTTTAAATTGGCCTTTGAACTTAGCTTTATTGCATGGCAAAAAAAAGTGTTACCTTGCCAAAGCACTGACAGAGCCCACTGATCTAATGGCGTTGTTGAGCGCTCCAAATGCAAACTTTGCATGCAACAATCAGGCAGCAATTGACAGCACTCTGATCTAGTGGCATACAGGCATCGTCAGATTGACAGTACTCTAGCCCAATAATGTTGGGGGATCCAGTGGGGTCATATTTCAGGGTGACCGTGCCACTCTTTATCACAGCCCTGCTAAAAGTGCCAGTACGTGCGCTCATTGGCGCCCCTTCAGCTGGTGGCGCCCTAGGCGACCGCCTAGCTCGCCTATGCCTAGAAACGGCCCTGAGGTCAACATACTGAGACATGCACTTTACGCCCTAGGCCACTGAGCCTGTTGCATGACGCGCATCTTTAGTAATGTTTATACCGACCAGACATTGGTGGGCAGAGCTAGTGTAAACAGTGTTGGGCTATTTGCACTTAGTGTCAACATTTTTTCTTCCCCTCGCTTGGGCCCGTGCCCATAATGCCCATTGGATAATCCGGCCCAGCTCTGATGTTATTCTGAATTCATCAGCTCTGAGATCTTCAAGCTCTACAGAACTTCTACAGATTCATTCTGTCGTTGTGAAGAAACATCTTGAAGAATGAGAAGCCTGATGTGTGTGCTGTTCCTGGTGCTCTTCTGCTCTGTGCCGATGACTTCAAGTGGTGAGTACTCTTGCATTTTGAATTGTTTTCAGAATATTTATGGAAGGTTTAGTTTCATTTGTTGCATTTGGTGATTTAAGAATAAAGATATAACAGCTTGAAATCTTCTTGAAAAATTTATTGTTTATTTTTTTGCATGAACAATGATTTGTGATATTTTGCATATCTTTATATTTCAGCTCCCCATCCAATTTTTGCAGAATCATACTGCTGTTTAATGCTCAATAATAGGATGATTCCTCTAAAGCAAGTGGTCTCTTACTCCTGGACCAGCAGCAACTGTGCCAAACGCGCTATTGTGTGAGTGTCATCTTAGCTATTATTTCATTTTCAAACTATAACGTGAACCTCAATGAGACACTCTTCTGAAGTCTTTGACTTAAATCATGTTTTTGTGTTTTTTTCCTTCAGGTTTAAGACAGTTGCAGGGAGAGAGATCTGTGTAGATCCAGAGATGACCTGGGTGAGCCACCTTGTTGATAAAGTGGACAAAAGCACAATCTGTTGAGGTCGGATTCTAGACATTTAGAGGCCCTATAGGCAAAATTCATGTTGGACGCCCCCACCCCCAATAAAAAGCATTTGAAACCAATATTATTCCTAACCTTTTTATTTATACATTTCATTTTAAATTTTGTATGTTTTTACTCATACAGTACCGGTCAAAGTTTTGGACGCATTACTATTTTTAATGTTTTTGAAAGAAGTCTCTTATGCTCATGAAGCCTGCATTTATTTGATCAAAAATACAGAAAAAACGGTAATATTGTGAAATATTATTACAATTTCAAATAATGGTTTTCTATTTTACTATACTTTAAAATATGTGACCCTGGACCACAAAACCAGTCATAAGGGTCAATTTTTCTAAATTGAGATTTATACATCATCTGAAAGCTGAATAAATAAGCTTTCCATTTATGTATGGTTTGTTAGGATAGGACAATATGTGGCTGAGATACAACTATTTGAATATCTGGCAGCGACTTAAGACTGGTTTTGTGGTCCAGGGTCACATATACTCTATTTCTGTAATCAAAGCTGAATTTTCAGCAAATCATTACTCCAGTCTTCAGTGTCACATGTTTCTTCAGAAATCATTCTCATATGCTGATTTATTATAAATGTTAGAAAAAGTTGTGCTGCTTAATATTTATTTTATAACCTTTGATACTTTTTTCAGGATTTTTTGATTAAAAAAAAAGAAAATAAATCTTTTATACAATATAAGTCTTTGTTATACATTTTTATAAATTTAACAGATCCTTGCTGAATATTACTGTTTTTTTCTGTATTTTTGGTCAAATAAATGCAGGCTTGATGAGCATAAGACACTTCTTTCAAAAACAATAAAAACAGTAATGTGTCCAAACTATTGTATGTACAAATTAATCAAACTTTATCTAGGCAATCTCTTTTTTGTTTGTTGAGGATGATATTATAGCCGTGATATTATTATTATTATAATATTATTATTTTGCAGTAATTTGCTCAGTAATTTATTCACAGTTCCTGAATACCACTTCAGTAAAATGAACATCAGTGCTTTTATCATTTTTTTCCAAGCTGGGTATGGGCAGGATTTCCCCCTTCCATTTTATCAATGCTGACTACAGATATGAATCATATTAATATTAATAATATTATGTATTAATTTTATGTATTGCATTTTACCTTAAATATGCACTACATAGGCCTACACAAATCAGTTGGGAGTGAAAGAGACGATCACTACTAGACAGAAAAGAAGTTTATTTCTTGTTAGTTGAACGTTAAATTAAGAGTTATGTTAGAGCAGTAATGTAATCATCAACAGAATTTAGAAGATACACACATCTGAGGTCCTTTTTTTGAAACATTAAACATTTTCAACAAACAAAATATCCATATTCAAAATGTAATAATCACTGTAATCTAGCTTGCGCCAACAGTTGTACACAGAAGCAGCTCCGGGAGGATGACGTAAGATGTCAGCGTTGCGCATGCGCCGGTGAGTCTCGTGAAAACCAACGTTTGTTTACAGGAGCAAAGGAAGCAAAGTTTCCTTACTTTAGCAAAGGAAAACCAGTCTCCTCTTGGCTTATATCGAAATCCTCCGACATTCTTCTTTACAAATCCTCGTTTTGTACTTCTAATTAGTGACCGTTGTTGAGTCATATCGTCATTGTGAATGGTAGATTAAGTACCAATCAGTGACCAGGCATTACTCATATTATAAAAACATAAAATTTTATTGGTTTGAAAAAAAAAAAAAAATCATGTGATGTCCATTTCAATGGCCGCAGGGTCTGAAGGGGTTAAGCTCAATAAAAATTAGCAGTAGCCTTAACTAATTTTTACTGTGCTTACATTATTAACACTTTTTCAGTACTGAAGAGATCCGTAATGACTGGTGGGTCAATTGTCCTTCAAACTGAACATGTTCACTCCCTTCTGATTGGAATCTCGCTTAAATCGGTGGAATACCATCAAGTCCACTTCACAGGGCACTTACTGTCGAATGAAACGCACTTTGAGTCATCTCAAGCTACACAGTATCCTCAACTGTATCCCTTCTCTGAGCACAAAAAAAAAAACGGTTAAATGCCGTTGTAAAGACAAATATATTTTACCATAATAAAAATACTGAAGTTTACATTTTTATAATCTTTTTAAATTAAACATAAAATGTGGTGCTTTTAAGAAGTTATATGACCAGAAATCGCACTTAATTACTGTGTTAGTGAAGAAACATCTTGAAGAATGAGAAACCTGATGTGTGTGCTGTTCCTGCTGCTCTTCTGCTCTGTGCAGATTGGTGAGCGCTCTTTTTCATTTTCAGTTTTGAATGAAGACAAAATGTATTGTTTTTGTATTGCTGCCCATTTCCTGTCATTACATTTGCATATTTTAATTCTGTGAACCAGTTTAACTGGTGGCTGAATTATTCTACCTTCTCTATTAGACCAACGTGGTTTTGTTTTCTTAGAGCAGGGGTTCTCGGCCCTGTTTCTGGTGGTCCAACTTAAGTTTAGTGCTTTAATTAAACACACCTGAACCAGTTAATCAAGGTCTTTGGGTTTACTTGTGAGCAAAGGGGTCAAGCTTAAGCACCTGATATTTGGTGACAGCACAATTCAGATTTGATCATAAAATCTTCTGATTTAGTTCATTTAATGCTGAGCTTGACTGGCCCGAAAAAGAGGAAGTTATGTGTTGTTTTGCTGAAGCACGTTTTCAGAGAATCTGAAAGAAAAGTACTTGCCACATTTTCACATGAGCGACAAAGCAGAAAAAGGATGAAGGAAAAAAAGAGCTAAAAACGACTCTCATTCTACAAAGTTGATACTCAGAAATGGATTTACATGAATGCCTTTATGAGGAATATGTCTCTGACTATGTATATAAGAAGGTGTTCAGACGTTATTCTGAACACAACAGCTCTGAGATCTTCAAGCTCTACAGAACTTCTACAGATTCGTTCTGTCATTGTGAAGAAGCATCTTGAAGAATGAGAAGCCTGATGTGTGTGCTGTTCCTGGTGCTCTTCTGCTCTGTGCAGATGACTTCAAGTGGTGAGGGCTTTCATTTTGAATCAAGAAAAATATATTGATTTCAGATCATTTATGGCAGGTTTAGTTTAATTTGTTGCATTTTTCTAATCCTTTTTTTTGTGCATTATCATGGTATAAATTTGTGATATTTTGAATGTCTTTATATTTCAGCTCCCTTCTCATTTAATGTGGAAAACTGCTGTATAGCGTTCACTAATGTGAAGATTCCTCTGAAACTGTTGGTGTCTTACTACCATACCAGCAGCAACTGTCCCAGGCAGGCCATTGTGTGAGTGTCATCAATCTCATTTTAAACTGCAAGGTTAACCTAAATTAGACTCTCCATTAAAAACATTTTATCTAAATGTTGTTTTTGTATAATTTTCCAGGTTTCAGACACAAACAGGGAAAAAGCACTGTGTAGATCCAGAGAGCACCTGGGTGAACAGCCATGTTGCGAAACTGAACAGCAGAACAACAGTCTAAAAGAAGCTACATATTTTTTATTTAAACTGTGCTTTTCATGTTGTAAATTCCACCCTTGTGCTATTTCTGATGTATATATAAAATATTTTATTTACAGAATAATTCATGTAATTGGGTTCAGTTTTTAATAAAATATAAATGAAAAAATTATTATCATTTAGTGATGTTTTAATCCTCTATTGAATGCATGTTCTACAGTATTCTGCATTTTATTATTCTTTTAATTAATTAATTTATTTGGTATTGTTACTATACTATTAAAGAATAAGCAAAGCATTTTTTTAAATATCTCACTGAGACTAACGTGAATTGTCTAAATCTGACTGAAATATCTAAAAACGAATCTGCTTTAGCAACACATTTCTCTTCTCATTTGAGCACTAAATACTATATACTTGATTATATTAATAGAATTAGAAATTAAATATCTACAGTAGTGTGTCCTTCCTGGTACTGTCCTGCAGTCATACTGTATACTGAAATCTAGTGGTGGAAGTTTTCAGTCTGATAGGCTTTCAATGAGAAAGAACAAAGATGAAACTACACTAGGTTACATTAGATATTATGCAAAGATTTCCCAAAGTATTAGACTATAATAAAAACCATTTAAAAACCATTTGTCCTCTGCAATGGTAAGATTACCATTTACATTGAACTGTTTGCTATATAATTGCAGTCTAAAACAAAAATGATGAAAGAAAAAAATATGTACAAGAAGTTTCTGAGGAACGCAAGTTGTCTTGTGAGTTCTTAAAAGGACCCTGCAGATCTGCGGATGGATCTTTAGAAATTTCGAGAGACGCTCCTTCTTTTTGTTTTAGTCAGAAAAAGGTGAATGTTTTTTTAATAGTTATGTGACATGTAGGCTAAGTATGGTAATCAAGCCATACTTGTAATTTGTCCTCTGCGCTTACAGCAGTGAGTAGTGAACACACACACACACTGTGGACACACACACACTGAGCAGTGGGCAGCCATTTTTGCTGTAGCGTCCGAGGAGCAATTGGGGTTAGGTGCCTTGCTCAAGGGCACCTCAGCTCTGGGTAATGAGGATGGAAGGTACTGAGAATGCCGGTATGAGAACTGAACCCACGACTCTCTAACCATTAGCCCACAACTGCCTCTTTTACTCTGACTGAAAATAACAATTTAAAGTGAATGTTTAACTCCCAAATAGGGATATGCCGGTATGAAATTTTCATGTTGCGATTAATTGCTAATGCTTTTATTACGGTATACGGTATTATCACAATATTGAAATTAAGTTTAAAAAAAGTGCTGTCATAATACAGTATAACAGGTTTAATAACTTTTTCATATTCATTACCGTGATATATCGCATTACCGAATACCGGCACAAGTCTACTCCCAAATAAATCACACAGTTGTTGGAGGTAATTCTGTAGGTGTGTGTTAATATTAGGGTCATTTTTCAAAGCAGAATCTCCACATTTTCAGATTGTAGCATTGTTGAATGAGCAAGTGATTTTTTTTTCTGGCACAGAAGGAAGGTTAATGCGCAGTGTGTTTTGTGTAGATGGCCTCATGTTTAACATAATGGCTCTGATTTACAAAGAGGCACCAGATAAACCATGGTAGACTATCAGAGATAGAAGTTAGAGGGCATTTGCTTCACATCTTCAATGAAAGCTAAGCACCCCTAAAGTTTAATAACAGTGCATTAGTGCTAACTGCAATAAAACCTGAACCAGTTAATCAAGGTCTTTGGGTTTACTTGTGAGCATGCAAGGAGTGAAGGTTTAGCATCTGATATTTGGTGATAGCACATTTCAGATTTGATTATAAAATCATCACATTTAGCATGACAGGCCTGAAAAAAGGAAGTTGTGTGTTGTTCCCCTGAAGCACATTTTCATCGAATTTGAACGAAAAGTACCTTCCACTTTCTTGCATGAGTGGTAAAGCAGAAAAAAGGACGAGGAAAAGGAAGAGCTAAAAACGACTCTCATTCTACAATGCTGATACTCAGAAATGGATTTTCATGAATGCCTTTATGAGGAATACGTCTCCTACTATGTATATAAGAAGGTGTTCAGACGTTATTCTGAACACAACAGCTCTGAGATCTTCAAGCTCTACAGAACTTCTACAGATTCGTTCTGTCATTGTGAAGAAGCATCTTGAAGAATGAGAAGCCTGATGTGTGTGCTGTTCCTGGTGCTCTTCTGCTCTGTGCAGATGACTTCAAGTGGTGAGCACTCTTCCATTTTGAATTAAGACAAAATGTATCGTTTTCAGAATATTTATGGAAGGTTTAGTTTCATTTGTTGACATTTGGTGATTTAAAAATAAAGATATAACAGCTTGAAATCTTTTTTTTTTTTTTTGCATGAATAATGATTTGTGATATTTTGCATATCTTCATATTTCAGCTCCCCATGCAATTGGTGCACAATCAAACTGCTGTGTAGAGTTCAAAAATGTGAGGATTCCTATAAAGCAAGTGGTGTCTTACTACTGGACCAGCAGCAACTGTGCCAAACGCGCTATTGTGTGAGTGTCATCTTAGCTATTATTTCATTTTCAAACTCTAACGTGAACCTCAGTGAGACACTCTTCTGAAGTATTTGACTTAAATCATGTTTTTGTGTTTTTCCCTTTAGGTTTAAGACAGTTGTTGGGAGAGAGATCTGTGTAGATCCAGAGACGACCTGGGTGAACCACCATGTTGATAAAGTGGACAAAAAAACAACAACTGCAGCTGCTGCTGCATCAACAACCTCTCCTACAGCAAAGACTCAGAGCCTCACAATCTAAAAGAAGCTACACTGTTTCTATTTGATCTCTGCATTTCATATTGTATATTTGACCACTATTTCTGATGTGTATATGAATATATATTCTACAACATAATGTATGTAAATAGATCCATTTGTTTTGATAACTGTTTAAATAAAATATAAATGATAAATGTATCATCATGTAGTGATGTTTTTTCCTTTCATGGATTTTTGTATTTAGTCTTTTTATTTAAATTGAATTTAAACATTTTATTTTTATTTAAAAGTCAGTATTAAATGTAGATGTGTGATACAAAAACATCTAGTAAATAAATATAAAAAATAAAAAATCTAATAAATAAATATAAAAAGTAATATTCACAGTTTTCAAATTTATTCCATTGTTACACAAAGTTCTTCTTCTAGACAACAGAGACACTTAAAGGGTTAGTTCACCCAAAAATGAAAATTAGCCCATAAATTACTCACCCTCAAGGCATCCTAGGTGTATATGGCTTTCTTCTTTCAGATGAATCCAGTCGGAGTTATATTAAAAATTGTCTTTGATCTTTCAAGCTGTTTAATGGCACTCAGTGCATTTAATAGGTAAACACACAAATGGTTTATGTACACAATCTGAATCAGTAAAACATATAATAATAGAATGTCATGCATATGAAAATAAGAGAATAATATTAAAAGAAGTATTTGAAAAATATAAACTTAAATATACTTTGGAAAATATACTTGGAACAGCACTAAGGAAAACATATGTACAGTTAATTTCATATCTGAAAGAGACAGGTCTACTAGAACAAATATGAAGATCATAGAATAGTAGGTTTTTTCTTCCTTTTTTTCTGGCTTTTTATTTCACTTTTGGACTGATGCACTGCAACGCACACTGAGTGCCATTAAACAGCTTGAAAGATCAAAGACAATTTTTTATATAACTCCGATTGGATTCGTCTGAAAGAAGAAAGTCATATACACCTACGATGGCTTGAGGGTGAGTAATTTATGGACTAATTTTAATTTTTGGGTGAACTAACCCTTTAAGCAAATCCTCGTAACATTCAATTAATTGATATGACTGTAAATGTTTTTAAAAAGACATTTACACATTTTCTTGGGTGAAAAATGTGTTTACTGTGTTTATTCAGAGTCACCTCTTCATTAATAAATAATTTTATTTCAATATAATATAGATCATATGCTTGCAAAGTGAAAAAAAAAGGTTTGTTATACACTGAGGCAATTGAGATTTCATGTTGAGTGCTTAAAATTCATCCTTAAATGTGAGATTAGCAAGGCCAATCTTGACAAAAATGTTCTTTACAGCGCTGTACAATATACAGAGATGCAAATGTGACACAATACAAAAAGCAGTGAACATTAGGAAAAGTTATGAATGTGAGAAAATGCTGAGGGCGTTATTTTAAAACCACACATATGATGCAACATCATTTATTTCATTCACAATAAATCTGCTTCCTTCTTTTTTCTGAGTGCAGCATGTAAAAACTGGGTAAAACTTTTGTTTTCAGATTAGGAAAGTCTATAGACTTTATATGGTTCTTTATCTCATTAGTTCTCATAGTCTCTTATCTTCTTTCATATGGTTCTTTATCTCATTAGTTCTCATAGTCTCATATCTTCTTTGTCATGCTCGTCTCTGCAACCAAGTTGTGACAGAACACCAGACCATAGAAATGAAAGGGGAAATTATCTCCATAAACATTGTCCCTATGGGGAACTTTTCTAAGCTCAATGGAGCTGCAATTTTTATTTTCCAAGGAGGAAGAGACCAGGAAGTATTTGTGGAGGAGTTCATCGGCGCCAGCCACCTAAACGTCTGCGATGACATTGCGCTTATAGAGGGGTTTTGGGTGGGACTGGACGATGACATCTGGCTGGTGATGCCCTGGGGAAGCTCCTGCTGGACATCAGCTTTGCTCTGTGGGTCAACGGATCTTCTTTTAAAGTGGGAGAGGTGGAAGTGGATCCCGCCGACAGCATCCAGTCACCATCCGTCACTGGCTCCTCCTCAGCCACTCGTCACTGGGACTCCACTTTGGTCTCCTAGTCCTTCAGTGTCACCAGGTCTCTCAGTCCATTGGACGTCAAGTGGGCCTCATCTTCTCCCAGCGTCACCTCAGTCGGTCGGTCTCAAGTTTCCACCTTGGCACCTCCCTCCATCAGTTTCGCCATGGATCGCCTCCCTCATGGCCATCTCTTGGGTCACTATGGGTGTCGTCTATGTTGTGGTTGTGTTTGCTTGTCTGCCTTTGTTTGGATTTACCTGTGGATATTATTAAAGACTATTTTGGATCTATTTCTTCTTTGTCATGCTCGTCTGTGCTTGTGACAATAGTGGTGTAACTGCCTTATTTGTGATAAGATCATAGTTTTGTGCTATGGAGGATTACGTTTAAATAGTGTATCTTTTCAATAAGTCTGATAGAGTTGAGTAATCTAGGTCAGCCGAAAAGTAGAGGTGAAATGTATGTATTTCCAGAGATATAATTCTCACATTTATGAGGCAAAATGTAAAATAGAAAATTGAAGGAAACTGATATATAGACAAAAATACTAATAGTTATTTCTGAGATAAAGCAGTATGGGGAAAGTCAAGTGTTGCATTTGTGAAATATTCAGAGTAAAACAACTTGAAGGAACCAAGAACTGGGTTCTTTCTTATTATAACACTGAGGAGAAATACAGAAGTAGAAAGAAGATATGAAACCGTTCAAATCTGCCATACCATAATGTTGATCCTCAGAAGTGTACTTACTTGAATAATATTTAATTCTCAGTATAGGCTATATAATGAGAAAAGTTATTCTCTGCATGAAATATTTTCTCTGAATATCCTTTGCTCCTGAAATATTCACACATGCTTCTTTAAATAGAAATAGTGATGAAACAAAGATGAAACTTTTGTGATTATTCACTCACCTTCATGTTATTAAAAACCTTGAAACACAATGGAACAAAAAAAAAATTAATTGCAAAATGTTCAAGATCCTCTTTTCTTACAATTTTAGGGAATTGTCACCATGGCTGTAAAGTAAGAATGTCAAGACTTTTTAATGAAATATGGCAGCTCTCACTGGCTGCAGGTGGCCACGGCATTTATTATTGTTTATAATTTGTGTCCATCTAGTGAAGCCTTAAGTGGTGTTTTAAAGTTTTATCTGAAGAACGATGCAACGTGGTGTTTTTTTAGAACTGCGCCATGGCAACAAATTACAATTCATGGTAAACAAGACTAATCTATGATTGTTCCTCGAAATTTACCTTTAAATTTAATTTGGACATAAAGGTCGTTAAAAAAATGAAAATCCTTTAAAATAGCTAGTTAACAGAGTTAAGCCCCGCTGTCCTCGAGCGAAGAATGACGTGGAGTGGCTGCATTTAACGAAGGGAAAGGCAGCACTTTTAAAAATACTGTAGGCCTACTTAGTTTTTAATAGCTATATTTCTCCACAAAGTCTCTGTAAGCACACTCGACGAGTGCCCAAATTATATTTACGTGGTATACGCTCTGAAGGCCACACAGCAAAATCCCCAGAGTTAAATCAACTCTGCTCAGAGTACATATTGTCCCAATCTACAGAGTGTTAAAGTAACACTGAAGCCGAGTTAAAGTTAATGGGATAATTAAGCAATTATTTAATTGATGAGTGAGCATTATTAAAGAAAACCCGCTGTTAACAATGTTGAAGATTAACAACTACTGCTCAGGCTTTTATACATGAAAACGTATCACATAATCCTCAACAGTGGTAACTCTGCTTCAGTGTTACTTTAACACTCTGTAGATTGAGACAATATGTACTCTGAGCAGAGTTGATTTAACTCTGGGGATTTTGCTGTGCAGCACTGCGTTAGGAGCCTGTGGGAGGTCGTTGTAATTAGAAGACTTTGTTTAAAAGAAGTAGCCTAGTGTATTTAGAGTTGTATTAGCTCAAATATAAGTTTAGCACATAGAACAAAACCTTCGCATAAAGAGGAAGAGGGTTCAGAGAGGCAAAGCGTTATTATACTTAGAAAAGGCTGCGTCACTGGTCCAGAGGATCAGCATAGGGGATTTCTTTCAATACAAAAACTATTTTGCCATCTCTATATAATGGACTACTGGCAGTTCACCGTATACCCTTACTTTCTCTGTCTCTCGTGTGGTGTATCATACCTGGGGAATGAAGACCTTCATGAAGACTTCATTGCTGTTTCTGACGCTATGCTGTGCTCTGCAGCTTAATAACGTTACCTCAGATGGTGAGTAATCTGTGCTTCTGTTCATTTTTTTTTTCTCCTTAATGTTTAAAGTGTTAGGCTCCAAATTCAGTTTTCTGCAAAGGAGACTTTATTTAAACAATCTAATAATTTTTTTTTGTTATTTATTTTTTTTGGTTATCTATTTCTGAAATATTGGATAACCATTATTTTTTCAGGTTCTATTGCAAGTGAGAGTGCAAACAGTATCTGCTGCTTTAATGCAAGAAATATCAGAATACCTCTGCAGCGGCTGGAGAATTATTACTGGACAAGTGACATTTGCCCTCTCAGACACATTGTGTGAGTATTCTCTCGATATGTTTAGATGTACTTTATATTGTTACTAATATTTAGTATTTACTTAACATACGTGTTGTTTTAATGCTTTTGTCTGTAATGTGCTCTAGATTTGTAACAGCTCCCGAGGATCCTAGCACTCCGAAGAAACAATTCTGTATGGACCCTGAAAATAAGTGGGTCCAGCGGACCATTAACTACTTGGACAAAAAGCATGCTTAAAATTCAGCAAAATGAAACTTGGAAAAAAAATTATACATTTCTACGATACACACACACACACACACACACACACACACCTGTACATATGAGTAAAACTGTAAAATAAACTTGTTATTGTAAAGTTTTAGTGAGTTACCATTGTAATGTGTATTATTCAAATGTGTGGATCTCATAATTATCAATAATATTATGTCAACAATAATTCTTAAGCTACTGATCTGATGTAAATTTTAAATGAGCTGTATAAAGAATATTGCATATAGAGTGGTATGTACATTTCATTTTATTGTCATTATTAAAGTCTACCTATTGTCTAGGCCTGCCTTTTTATTAAATATTTACTTTGCAATTTACTTCAGTTAAGGTTAATTGACAGTTTTATTAGAATCAAGTGGCAGTTAGTGTAACTACATTTACTTCAAATATTTTATATATAATGAAAAATATGACACATTGCAACTACTGTTTGAATATTCCACTAGAGGGCACATGTACATCATTAAAGATTTATGATCCAAATTTATTTATTTATATATTTATTTTGTAAGTATCACAGACATTTCCATCAAGTGGACCAACCAATTAATTACTTTTATTTTTGGGTGAATTATTAATTTTACTTCTGAGCACTTTTATTTATGACATACTTGTTTGCATTATATTATCAGTTAAATTATATTACTTAAAATGTAATTACATATTATATGAGCATTATATTGACCTGCTTTTTTAAGTGTTATATTTACATTAGTCATTAAAAAATATATATATATCAGTTGACCAGAGATATTTGTTCTAAATCTGTTTTTAAATATTAGGCACTTGCAGAGATTGTGCACATGTGCAAGAAATGTAAGGGATAAATTTTATCCAAAAAGCAATGCAGAATTGCTTAAATAAAGAGTACTTTATTGTCTAGCAAGGTGGTCTTTGCAGCTAAAGCATTATTTTTTATGAGAGCCAAAACAATGAATTTAATTGTTTTATATGGTCTAATTCGAAGAAACTATATGATGCATATTGAATATTATGGCCAAGACAGATATAATATAACATTTAATGAAAAAAAATATTGAAAGTAAATGTTCAATATTTTAATTAGCTAAATTGTGCTCAAATAAGTATAATAAAGAACCACAGTCAGAAGACAACTTTAGAAATTCACTAAATTGTTAATGTCCACAAAACATACAGCTAATGTACAATGTAGGATCATTCAACAAAACAAATATTAATGATAAAATTAATAATTTTTTCTTGAGTAATAAAAGCACAATAAATAATGACAACCCATACAACCCTTGGTTAATAAAAAAGTCTTATTAAAATGACCTCTCACAGACTACCAAGTAACATATGTAATATTAATAACTCAACTTCTCTATGTGGTAATGATAGACCTACTCTTACAAGCTCAAAGACATTTAGAATCTGTTGTGTCTTGGTGCCCTATTGACATTTTGTTATTTCTCTGTAAATATTTTTATACAGAAACATAAACACAATGCAGAGATGGGAAGTAACAAAGTACAAATAAGCCTACTTCGTTACTGTACTTAAGTAGATTTTTCTGGTATCAGTACTCTTAGAAAAATACCTGAGATGGCTTTAAGAACACAGATAAACCATATATTGTTGAAAATCATATATTTATTGTATTGATATTTCATCAGGTAGGCTAAAACGTATCTGTCTGCATTTTATTCAACTACAGGAAATGCTGGATTTCCTGGAACGTCATAATTAAATTAAATCTCACTTATGCAGTTTCTGCGCGGCGCCCTCCAGTGTGAATGAAACAGACATTACTTGTGTACTCACTAATGCTTACAACACCCTATTTTGGGTAAAAATAGGAAAAATAACACTTTAATTGGAAGTAACATCCATATCCATACGTTTTTCTCTAGTGTAGAGAAGTGTCCATAAGATTTCCTGACAAAAATTAGGAAAATACTGTGACAGATTTAATCAAATATATATATATTTTTAATGATTTATAGTTTTAGGCCCCCTGCATGTTAACAGGGGAAAACAAGTGTAAATTATGCTTGCACTCTAATTGTCTTTGTTTGCATTTCAATAAAATTTACAGTATAACTCACCTCAGTTTTGCCATTCTTAAAGCATCATAATAATTTTGAGTTGTTTCCAAGGACAAGAGGCAGAATCACCCTGAAATCTAGGATGTGGCCTAGGTGATGGCACATTTTTTATCGTTATTGTTTTTCCCCATCAGCTTAGTCTTTTCTATGCTTGTGTTCTACATGGTGGTTGTTCTGCCTGGATACATTCATTTGAAATGTAAGTTATTTTGTAGTAATGGCTACTTTTTACTTAAGTATATGTCAGAGCCCATACTTCTTTACTTTAACTTGAGTAAAAAAAAGTGTAGTCAGTACTTCAACCAGAGTCTTTTTAAACATGAGTAGGCCTATCTGTACTTCTACTTGAGTGAAGGAAGTGCTTGCTGTGTTTTTTTCCACCCCATAAATAATTTCCCCCTGCTCATATACAGTTTTAGCACATATAACAACACATTTGCATAAAGGGTAAGATGGTTTCAAGACGGAATATTGTTATACTTAGAAATCTAGACCAGTGATGCGGCCCTTTTTTTTTTGCACGAAAACTACAGCATCTCTATATAATGGACTGCTGGCAGTTTACCACTTACTTTCTGTCTCTTGTGTGGTGTATCATACCTGGAGAATGAAGACCTTCGTGAAGACTTCATCACTGTTTCTGATGCTGTGCTGTGCTCTGCAGCTGAATACCTCAGCTGGTGAGTGTCTGTTTCTGTCGTATTTGTTCTCTGTCATGGGAATGGGATATAAAGCATTTCAGGCTCCGGATTTAAACTTCATTTAAACAATCTAAAACAGTTCTTAGTTATCTCTTTCTGAAAATGTTGGATAACCCTTATTTAATCTGTATTTTAAAAACCTGGAGAATAAAAACATTTAAAAACATGTTGAATCACATTTTAGTGAACTCTTTTTCACTTTTTCAGGCACTAAAGCAATTGTGAGCGTAAACAGTATCTGCTGCTTTAATGAAATCAATGTCAGAATACCTCTGAAACGGCTGGAGTCTTATTTCTGGACAAGCAGCAGTTGCCCTTTCAAACACATTGTGTGAGTATCCTCGCGATATGTTTAGATGCACACTTATATTGTTATTAATCTTTAGTATTTACTTCACATTCATGTAGTTTTAATGCTTTTGTCTGTAATCTGCTCTAGATTTGTAACAGTTCCAGATTCCAAGAAACAGAAGAAAGAAGAGATTCAGAAGAATCTATTCTGCATGGACCCTGAATATAAATGGGTCCAGAGGGCCATTAACTACTTAGACAAGAAACATGCTTGAAATTCAACAAAATGAAACTTTCTACAAAAAGAAATGCTCTACATTTACACAGATAAACACACACACACAGACACATTCGTATATATATGAGTAAAACTATTTTAAAAAATGGTATTGAATTGTAAAATTTCAGAGAGTTACCATTATAATGTGTATTATTCAAATGTGTTGATCTCGTCATTATCAATAATATTATGACAATAGGCTACTGATCTGATGTAAATTTTAAAAGAGACGTATTATTATAACCAATAGAGAATATTGTATACAGAAGCTTTCATATGTTTGGAATTAGTTTTAGTGTCATCTACCTTTTTATTTCAATATTTACTTTACGATTTACTTCATTCTAGGTTACTTCCCAATTTTATTAGATTCTGTCAAGTAGCAGTTAGTGTAACTAATATGTACTTCAAATATTTTAATAAAAAACATTTATATTAATATAAAAATGTCTTTGATTTATTTCTTTTGATGCACAATGTTGTCTCTTACTTAAAAAGCAACCCACTAATATCAAGTCAAGTTACCTTTATTTATACAGCACTTTATACAATATAGACTGTCAACGCAGCTTTACAGTGTTAAACAAAAAAATAGTGATTCAATGATCCAAACAAAATTCAGTTCTGCTGTAAAGCAGCTTTAAAACGAAATAAACCGGCATTATTCAGTTGAAATCAGTTCATTGTTGAATTTCAGTTCAATAACGGTGTAAAGTCCATCAATTATAGAATGAGTTTAATTTATCTGTAAAGCAGATCTGGAGAAAACACTAATGTCATCATCCAGCTCAGTTCAGTTTAGTCCGTATATAAGGTCAAGTCAATTGCCAAATATCAGGTGTCTGCAACTAAGCAAGGCAAAAGGTCACAGTGGCAAGGGAACCCAAATAAAATCGGTGACAGAAATGGAGAAAAAAAAACTTTGGGAGGAACCAGGCTCAATCTGGGGGCCAGTCCTCCTCTGGCCAGATGAACCAACATGTTGTGTTTTAATTCCAGACTGCATCACAAGTCTGAGGTCACAATTTATTTATGAGGTCTATTTTATGAACAAAAGGTTATCAAACATTTTAACATTCCTGTTCTAAAGGAAATAACATATTGTTATTATGATAAATAGGACATGTTGTAACTACTATTTGTATATTCCACAGACCCATGTTCTGTTATCCCGACTCTGTTAACAATTTAAAAAAAATCCCCCTTTTTATTTTGATTGATTTATTTATTTTGTATTATTTTATTTGTTTATTTGTGTGTGTGTTTTGAAGTATTGCGTATGTATCTGCCTAGTCAACTTCACACACGGCATCTTTTTCATTCTTCCTCCGTCCTCGTGATTGCCACTACAAATACCACAATCCTTTGTAAAATACAGCGATCCAATGAAATGCGAGGGTGGGCGGGATTCTATGACATCACTACAAGCGGCCAGTCACTGACCAATAGGGCTTGAATTCTCTAGGAGGAGGACAATCGCCTTTCATGCTCGCAGCATTGTAACATTTTCCCCCGGCCGATGCTTGCATGCTTGTTTTAGTCCTGTGCACGTTTACCTCCCTTAAAAATCCATTAATTTAGTTAAAATCCGAATCAGCCGTAAGGGTTCGTCGTCGCTTTTGCACTCGACCCTTTTTGAGTCGACTCATCTTTTTATGCCTGATCTATTGGGGTTCAGAGTGGGTGTTGTCACAGGACAATGATTGAGAGACCCGACTCAGCTGTTTCCAGCGTTGCAGTGAGTACAATTTTCATGCATTTATCCAGAAAATACATTTAAGGCACATCTGGCTTATGGATTGCTTGGTGGTGGGCGAATTGATTCCTAGCGTGACTGTCCCTCTAATCATCTATATGTTATGGCAAGCTGGTTTCACATTTATGCCTTAAAGCTAACTAGCATCTATTTTTCTTACTGATTTCACCAATAACTATTCAATAGATACTAGTACTTATTCCAATGTTATTTACTAGGCTACATATTCAAGTAGTAACTAGTACTCTTTCATTACATACTAGTCTCTATACCAAGTCTCTATATCAAGTAACAAGTCACTATTTCTTTGTTAATGGTAACAAATGGCAAATTCTTTGGTAATGTGTGGTTCAGTTAGCAATTGTTTGTATTACTAGTAAAAAGGTAACAACATCAGTTGGAATACATACAATAGACCGATTCCCATTGAATTTAATAGCTAATATTTGCAACTTGTCAAAGCAAAGTAAACTTGACTAGTAAAGGAATAAGCACTAGTATATAAAAACAAGTCTCTTCATTATTGGATTACTTTTTAGAAATTGAAAAATAAGTACAAGTTTCGTAAAAGTAGATACTAGTTATTTTTTAAGAAATAAATGTGAAAATAGCATGCCATAATCTAGGGTTCATAAACTTGATCCAAAGCTCACTGGTTTCTGTGTTTTATTGATAAACAACTATTGATAAAGTGAATTATGTCACATGCGCCTTAGCTCATGTAGTAAACGTTGTAACCATATGAAAACTATAAGAAACAAACTCCTCAGAATCATGTTCTTACACTCAAACAACCCCTGCATTTTAAACATTACCTTCTATCAATAAAAGTTTCCTCATACCATACCATACTTGAGGCATAAGTGAAATGGTGAATCACATATTGTAAAAGTGAACCTGAGAAGTGCCTTTTTTTTTGGCCCTGTTGCGGTTGAGGCTGCACACATGTAATAATATCAAAAACAAAAAGTGGATCCCATTGCAAGAAACAAAAAAAATTCACGTCTAGGCACTCGCATATCAGGCAAAATATAAAAAGCCAAGCTTTTTATATTTTGCCTGCTATATGAGTGCCTGGACGTGGATTTTTTTTTTTGTTTCTTGCAATGGGATCCACTTTTTGTTTTTCACATTTTGTTCCCTCTCTGGAGCACCCTTTATAGAGTCTCGCTTGTGAGTACCTGATGCGCCCCTGGTCAAGACTTTTTTTCTTTAACATGTAATAATATGTTAAATATGTTGATTACCATTGACCTCAAGACAGATGATCTTGATTGCAGATGCATACAAATGTGTTTTTGGGGTGAAATGGTTGGGCTGTTAATAGCTGTTTGGAGCAGCAAATGAGAATGACAGGCTCTAAGCATGATGCGCAGCTCTCTCGCGGAGAGCAGTGAGTGGAGATGCATTTCAATGGGGTTAGAGAGAATAGCAGCCAAAAACTGTCACCAAGCATATATCACAATCCCATTCATGTGAACTTGAAGGAAACCGACTTCATACGTCTGCTTAAAATCAACATGGGGCCATTTGGTTAAAAGTAATTGCAAAAATAGCTCATAAAAGTGAAGTTGGTTCCAAGAAACAGGCTAGCATCATTTCTTTGCAGATGCCAGTTGATATTATATAAGTTTATAGATTTAATACCCCAAGTTCTTTTTGGGGCCACGATATTTAGGATCCTCATATCAGCTGTTTTATACATTTTTCAAAGGATGAATGAGTTGCACAAATGTTACACCTATTCTGATTAGTAAGCTTGTGAACACCCACATTGTTTCCCACCTACACTATTTGCATCCTTCAATCTGTCCTGTTCTCCAGATTGCACGTCTGAATTAGGATGCTAACATGGAGAGGGGGTTCGATAATCAATGATTTAGTTCACCCATTTGGTCAGATGTTTTGCTGTTTGCCATGTTGCCATGGCATCAATCTTACAGTTATGTAAGAGCGCTTCAAGAGTGGAAAATGCCCTGAGCTTTTTCACAGAGCATGGCTATTTATAGACTGTATGAATTATATAGTATAGTTTTGAAGAAGATGCTGCTGCGTTTTGCGCTGCAATTGTTCATAAACTGTCAGAGGTTTCATATCATTTTGATTTTTTGTTCTTTTAAAATAAAATTGTCATTTATTTAAGCACGTTGTTCCTATGCTGTATGATTTTTTAGGGATGCACCGATATTCAAATTCTAGCCAATACAATAAGCCGATAAATATTTTCTGATAATTGTGTTATGGCCAATAACTGATAAATGGCTATGCTGTTTATACTTTTTACATAATTAAATTGTTTTTACATTATTTTCACATATTTTTATATTGTACATATCTGAAAATATTTTGTCTAAATAAATGAAAAAGAAAACACTAAAATTGTTACATTTTGGCATGCAACATTATAATTTACAATATGAAAAGTTAATACTTTATTGATATTTTTCTGAAGATTCATTAGAGAAGCTTGTTACATCGATACCATATCGGTTATTGGCTGATAATTTTTCTAAATGATCGGTATCACCAATAACCACCATAGTGCCAATCTAATGTCCATCTCTAATGTTTGTTTTTGTATTTTGTTTAAAGGAATGTATTGTCTAAATGAAAAATAAAATACTAAAATGTCCATTGCAACATTGTAATGTACAATATAAAAAAATAATGAAAAGATTCATTTTAAGTGAGCGTTAGATAATGGAAAATAAAATAATATAAATGTAAAAACAGGGAAAATAAGATTATTTATTCTTGAAAGAAAATCTTTAGAGTTGCATGTTACATCAGTATCATATCGGTTATTGGTCGATAATTTTTTCTAATTTATCGGTATCACCCTATAACCAGTATAGTACTGATGTAACTTGCATCTCTAATAATTTTTTCTACCTTGTCATGTTCATTCATTCAGGCCAAAAAGAGTTAAGTTGCCCTGATAACTGTAGCCCTCCCCATTCAAAATCTCTCTCTAAATGATCAGTATGGCCCCTACTACTTAGTTTTCCATTGGCCTACCATGCATGAGAAGCTCAGCGGAGCCAAAGCAGAGCGATCAATTGTGTTTGCCTTGCCTAGCGTGTGCTTCAGCGCTGTGCTTCTAACAGCATGAGATTACAAGAGATGGAAAGGGATGGAGGAGCTCGAGAAGGACTTACAGCTGGACAAGGCGCTGACTGTGATCTGGAGTGAAATCCACTGTCTCCATGACGACATTGAGTTTATGATGGATTTAATACGAAACGTAAATGAGCATGAGGAACAGGCTTCACCTCATCCCATGTATCCTCCCTTCCCCAGCCTCTTGGTTTCCCAAAGTTTGTCTTTGGGCTAGAAACTAGTTGGCTTGTAGCTGTTTTGGTGTGTTATTTTCATATGCACTTAACACAGATCTGTTTACTTTTCCTCAAATTAGCAAAATTCCATGTTATCCTTTGTTGTGGTATCCCTGCATGTGAGATTAGGAGTTAGGCTTCAAGTCATTATCCACTGGAACTAATGTTAATATTAGCATAGCCTTTAATATCTTTCCTCTGAAGTCTCCCTGAGCACTGTTTTGAGAGGGATAACTGTAATGGAGGAGCCATTCTGCTCTTTAATCAGTGGAATGTGGAGTAAAGCTGTGTTCTCTTCCAGCAGAGGAATCTGGAGGGTTATGTCGGCTTCGCCAACCTCCCCAACCAGGTGTACAGGAAGTCAGTGAAGAGGGGGTTTGAGTTCACACTCATGGTTGTCGGTAAGTCGCAAAATTCTTTTGCCTACCTGTGAGAAATTCTGTGAAAAGTTTGCAGATTGAAGTTTTTGTAAGATTTTAGACATCTATGAAATAAATATTGTCCTTCCATTTCAAGCGAAATTAAGTTTGGATGTAATTAAGTCTTCAGGGAATGTTCATTTAACATTAACACGGTTGACACGTTTGCAGTTCAATTTACCATATGTTTCTTAAAAAGTTAATGCAGATTTTTATTTATTTTTTTAACAAAAATTGTATGTAATTATATCTTTAGAAAACACTCAGGAAATATTCATAAAATGTTAATTGCTGACATTTACAGTTCAATTTTACATTGCAAGTCTTGTGTGAAAGGTTGTGAAACTAGAATATGTTTGTTAGAAAATTAATTTAATGCAGAAATTTTGTAAAATTGATGTATTTGATGCTATTTGGATCTATTATTTATGATGCCATCATGGTAACATGAGTTAAACTTTTATGATACCAATGACACGAAAAGATGAAAAAAAAAATACATAGTAATGTTGTCATCAGTGATTATTTGAAAAAGTCTTTCTTCACATACACGAGGAACACAAATGGCACTTGTTTTGTAAAATGACACTCACAATGAGATAGCTTTTGTTTGTTTGCTTTAAGTGAATTATCTGTCTGTGGCTTTGAATGGAAAGTGTTTTTTTTGCTGATGAATGAGTAAATGCCCACATACAAGAGTAGATATATGAGGAACGTTTGGGATGATCAATACTCTTGTCACCATCACACACACTCTGTGGTTTGGATGCTGTGACTAAAGCTGTATTGGAAATATGGATCTCGGTGACATAACTGTCACGGAGCGTTTCGCCATAGCAACTGGGTTTGTGTCTGTTAGCATTTGCAGTGAGTTTGCTTTCCAGCTCTGGCGTGAAATAATCTCTTTATTTTTTCTGTTCCTCTATTCCTCTTCCTAGTTGTTACTTATTCTATGTCTTTGTCTCTCACTCATTCCCTTCCTCTGTTATATAGGCTTGTCTAGTTTGTGGTTTCCTGTTTGGTAAACCAGCCTTTTGAGATGCTTGTACTGGTGCCAGGTGTTGAGCCGCACTAGTCTTTGTAGAAAGCTAGTTGTGTTGCCTTCAAGATGTGTGGCCCTTTAAGTAAATTTACAGTGATCACAAGTGTAAAGGTGCGGTCACATTAGCGATATTTTAGCAAACTTTTATGGGTTAAAATTAGGGCTGTGCAATATATCGAAATATCGCAAATGTACATATCGCAATATGCATATCGCTACAGCTTGCAATATTTGGGGCCATGAACAAAAGACAAAGAGAAAATCACTCACTGCTCTTATCTAAATAACTTTTGTAGCTTAAATAAGAATCAGTGCATATTGAATTCATAGAATAAATACTAAGCAGTGTTGTATTTTAGTTATAGAAGTTCACAGAACTGACTCTGCAAAAGCTGAGTAAAACTGTTTCATCTGAGCATGTGGCACTTTAAGCATTATCGTATCGCATATCGAATATCGCATTATTTAATGAGTTATAGCATATTGCATTTTTCTTCAATATCGCACAGCCCTAGAAAAATGGTCGATTGTCATTACAGTAGCAAAGGTATTTCAAACCAAGCAGCTTTCTGTTCGTCAGCGCGGTGAATTTGTGTGACCAACTTGATCACGAACAAAATCTGCATGGGGAAGTTTTTTCGAACGCAACGAAATGACTAGATTTTATCCACACATTTTTGCTGAGCTCCAGTAAATGTGACCTAAAATATTAAACTTTTATTCCCACTGTTTTGTTGGCAATTTAGTCTTTAGCTAGTCTGTCTTTTTGTTTTTGTAAACATTTAAGATTACAGTTTGAAATTTTATATAATTCTGGAACCAACAATATTTGCACACAGAATTGCGATCTTTGGTCTTCGTTTACATATATTTGCATGCTGAATAGGGATTGGTCTTTCAGTAAATATACAATATAAAATACATTATAAACAGCAATATTGTAAAATATACTACAATTTAAAGTAACTATTTGTGGGGAAGTCGTGGCCTAATGGTTAGGAGATTCGGACTCCTAACCCAAAGGTTGTGGGTTCGAGTCTCCGGTCCGGCAGGAATTGTAGGTGGGGGGAGTGAATGTACAGCGCTCTCTTCCACCTTCAATACCATGACTGAGGTGCCCTTGAGCAAGGCACCGAACCCCCAACTGTTCCCCGGGCGCCGCAGCATCAATGGGTGCCCACTGCTCCGGGTGTGTGTTCACGGTGTGTGTTCACTGCTGTGTGTGTGCACTTTGGATGGGTTAAATGCAGAGCACTAATTCCAAGTATGGGTCACCATACTTGGCTACATGTCACGTCACTATTTTCCATTTTCATATATTTTAAAATTCAATTCATTCATATGATGGCCAAACTGAATTTTCAGCATCATTACTCCAGTCTTTAGTGTCACATGATCCATCAGAAATGATTCTAATAAGATTATTTGCTGCTGAACAACAAAAACAAACATTTTTTACTGACACCAGATATTTGAACAGTAGTGCATACACTGAATAGCACCACTGATCTTAATAAATGCAAGTCTAGTAAGTATCAATATCTGTCTTTCTGTTAATAGTGTTTCTCATTCACTAATATTGAAATGCCACATTTTACTTAAGAAACAAGATTCCCCCTCCACATAAATCATCTCGAAACATGATTTTGCATGTATGTTCCACAGACTGGGCTGAGAATGTGATGTAGTCTCAGTATGTAATACATGTAATAGGGTCTAGCTGGGTTTTGTATCTACTTAGAACTGTCTTCAACCACGTCTAGTGGCCTTTTAAAGGACAGAAACGAAAACTGTTGTCTTGTTCTCTTGTCACTCATCCTGACAGGCACCACAGGGCTTTGGCTGTAGACTCCATTTTTCTCTCCAAAATTAAGGGAGGAAAAAATCTGTTTCCTGTCTTTCTTTTTTTTTTTTGTCTCTCTCTCTCTCTCAGTCTCCCTTGTGTTTTTTTCCACAAGCATTTCCTTTCTTGAGCTTTCCCTCTCAAACCAGCTGGCAAAATGTTTCTTCAGGGAGAAAACGTTGGAAAATGTGAAGAGTTTTAGAGGTTCGTTTGTCAAATAGAGGTATCTGAGGCGTGTTTGAGGTGCAAGAACAGGCCACAAAAAGATTGAAGAAGTGAAATGAAATCTTGGAGTTTGTAGTCTTGTTAAAAATATGGTTTTAATAACTGTTATTCAAGCGTGTAGTAGAATTCACACCTGTACAAACAATGAATAGAAAAAAAACGTAAAATTTCATGCATGTTTTCGTTAATTGTGCTGTTTGCATTCCGTCACAGTAACAACTCCAACAGCTGTGTTTGGACAAAATTTGAGATGCTTTAAGTGATGATTTTTCTAATCTGTTGCTGAAGACTTCAGACCTGACATGTTGTTGAATTCCATGTCATTCAGAGATATTTTCAACAACACAGCAGCAATTTGTCTGGTGTGGCTGCACTAGCGTAGCTGCCACTTTTTTCGTACATTAGCGTGCTGTAGGTCCGTTTAAAATGTCTCTGGCTGAAACCCGGACACACACAGGGAGGAGATTTTAATCCCTGGATTATGAAGCCAAAGCTTCCCCTCTCTGGCCTGCCAACAGGTCATCTAACAACCTGGTCATGGAGCTAAACCTGTCATACAGTCTTAGCTGACACATGCTAATGTATCCGCCAGTGCACAGACAAACACTGGCGTATCTCTGGGTTTTCAAACGAACACTCTTTTAAACTTTCGTTCAAGTTGAAAAGGGGAATATTTTAAGTTTGTTTGTGTCGTTTATGCAGGACTTGTTCTTAGCTCTCGACAGCTATGAGTGTATGAAGTAGAGTAACTCCATTATGCAAATCCTCTTTCACGCTACAGAAGCCATTGATGAGTTTCATTATGTTGGAAAGATATTTGTGTAGATGAGATTTTAGAAATAAACAATTAGGAATTTGACATTATGAAAGATGTGTGATGGTAGAAATGTGTGAAGTGGCTATTCTATTTCCAGTGCAGTCCGCTTTACTAATAATAGGATTGACTTTGACTTATAGCTTTGACTTATAACTATTTATTTATTTATTTATTTGTTACTGATTCCAGATGTATTCATTTGTTATAAATCATCTAACATAAATTGGTTTTATCTTTGGTGTATTTTTTACAGTGGTAAAAACAGTACTATTGTGAAATATATTTAAATGTTTTAAAATAATGAAACCGTTGTGCTGCTTTTGTGGAAACCTTGATTGTTTTCATTTATTTATTTATTTATTTTTCAGGATTCTTTGAACAACAAAGATTGAAAAGAACAACATTTATTTGAGATAGAAATCTTTTGTAACATTTCAAATGTCTTTACTGTCACTTTTGATCACTTTAATGCATCTTTTTTTGATAAAAGTTAATTTCTTTCAAAAATGATCTTACTGGTGATGCCAAAGATTTGAATGTTACTGTATGTGTATATACCAAATTTTAACCATATTTACCATATAACCATATTTGCTCACAATTTACTACAAATAATACCACAGTAATTTGTTCATTTCTCATCCAGAATACTTTTTTAAAGTTTTCTTTTGTAAAATCACCAAACCCAGTGTGCATTTGAGGTATCTAATTGTCCCTTTAGTCACTGTCATCTTCAGCATTTTTATGAAAATGATTCTAAATCATTGCAAAACAATGTAATTATATCTAATTGACTTGTGACTAAATTGCAGAATTCATGACATCTTGCATGATTTATTAAAGAACTTTAATATCTGTACTGTACACTCATTGGTGAAATGTAGCTTAATGTCGTATTATGGAAAGTGATGTTCTCTAATCAGAACATGCAAATTATGCTTTAGGTCTCTGAATCTTTAAATCCTGGTGTAGGTTCCTGGAAAGCTGCTTGGACCTTCTGAGAAATCACAAGCCCAGTACAATCATGTGGAAGGTGTATCTTAGCCAGAGTCCCCTGAAGTGTCCATGTGGTTGACAGCATACCAACTTTCAGTTGTTTAAAGACTTCTATGAATGAGAACAATGCCTTTTGAAGAGCTATTACTCTACCAGTTGAAAAATTTGTATATAATATTGCAGATTCAGAACAGAAATTGATGCACATGGAAGAAACATGGTCCATAGCTTAGGGCAGAAGATGTGTGTTTGAGAGTCTCACATTGCCGTTGGGGAAAATCTGACTCATTTCCAGCATATCTGCATGTTGATTGTGCGCGTGCAGTGTGTTATGGCGCTTTTCCACTGCGTGGTACGACTCGGCACGGCACGGTTCGCGTTTCCACTGCAGTTCAGTACCGCTTTAGAGTGGGCGGGATTATTATTACCACGACTCCTAAAAAAAAAAAACGTTTTCATTCCGCGTCGCCCCATCAAGCTCTCGCTGGATCCGCTCCTCTGCTATCAACGAGAGGAACGTCTGTTCTTCCGCAACAGACAACAAAACTTTTTGGTTGTTAAAAAAAGGTGCGCTCGTTCAAAACAGTTGCGTTCGATCCTTCGCTGGCTGTGCTGATTTAAATCTAGCGGTTCTTTTGTGTTTGTGTCGCAAGTTCAGTGACGCAGGTAGTGACGATTCTCTCCGGCCAATCCGTGATCAGCAGAGTTTACACGTAACGTTTTGGTAACTGTACGGTTCGCTTGGAACCCCAACGGAGGTGGTACTAAAAAAAGTACCAGGTACTGTACACAGTGGAAAACCCCCAAAAAGTGAACCGTACCGAGCCGTACCATGCAGTGGAAAAGCGCCATTACATCACACGTGTCACCTGGTCGTGGATCTTATTTTCTATGTAGGTCTTCCTATTTGAAGTTTTGTGTGTGTGAGTGTGTCCATTGGAGTTTTTTTCAAAGTGTTACTGATTGTTATCTCAGGCTGTTCGGAGATGAACTCTGACCTTTGTTGCCGAACAATGGATCTTATCACTACTGGAGCCCCTCTCCGCAAACCAGTTAAACACACATTGCTATCACACTTGCATTCTCACGTATTTTAAAAACAGTAATAAATACTTGATCTGAGTGATTCCCGAAGCTCTAGTTTGTTCAAACTAATTAACAAATTATAATTCTAATAGTTATACAAATTAAAATAGTTTGTTCTGCTGTTTATTTGCACCAGCAATTTGACTCTATTTATGTGTTGGGGTAGTGGGCCTCTGTCCGTGTCCGCTGTTTGTTAAAGGGTTAAGGAACTGCATGGCAGCAGTGCTTGAGTCCCTTTTATGAGGGGAAAAGAGTGAGTGAGCGAACAGAAAAGACAGCAAGAGAGAGAGATGGGGTAGCTGGGATTGGATGGGGGGCAGGGCAGTGGAAAAGAGGTGGGGGATTGTCAGGATATCTGAGCCCAGTAATGGGCCCTGGGGTGCTTTCTGTCCCAGAGTGTGATGACAGGAAGAGGTAAAAAGATGAAAGTCAAGAAGAATGTGTGGAATCTCTTGGAAAGTTTGTCCATTTGTCCTAGTCCTCCCGTCCATTCAGGGTAGTAGCAATTAATAAGGGTAGAAAAGTATCTTTCAATCTCAAAAGTTTGATTAATTGATGATTGATTAATTGTCATAAATTTTTTTTAAGTCCATGTTAAAGCACTTTTCTAAATTATTAAATGGATAGTTTACCCCAAAAATTAAAGTTCTGTCATCATTTACTCACCTTCATGTCTTTTTAAACCTGTTTGACTTTTTTTTGTTGTTGTTGTTGAACACAAAATATATTTTGAAGAATGTTGGAAACCAAACAACATTAATAATAATAAAAAAAATAAAAACATATATATATAATGTACATTTTCATACTATTTTTCTTTTTTGTTATGTTTGTTTGTAATTTTTTATATTTCTATTTAACTTATTTTTTAAGTTTTAAATTTTATTTTTTTATTTTTTTTTATTATTAAATTTTATTTAAATTTTAAAATTTTAATTAATTTTTTTATTTATGTAAGTTTAAGATTTTTAGATATTTTTTAAAAGACTTACAATTTACAAACATACTGCAAGAAACACAGGTGATTCAAATGCTTTTGAACACCATTTACCCCACTTTTTCAAGCTAAATGCAAACCGTGACAAACTGGGTCAGGAAGTGATGCTAGCATGCGCCTTTTATTCTGAAATGTCCGTTCCCCTTATAGCCTGTCTGGGTCTAGTTTAGCGTAAAGCCAGTGGAAATAGGGTCTATTTATCCGCACTGTGTGGTTGTGCCAGTCTGTTAGCACTGCTATAGACTTTTCCCTCTGTTTAATGGTTTTCCAGTGTCTCTGTTTGTCCCTGCTGGAAAAGCACATGTGCTGTATCTCTTTTGACTGGAGTAGTAAAAGAAAGAGCATAAAGGGCCCAAAACGAGATGGGGAGGTGGGTTCACTTCATTCATCCATGGGTCTGATAAAGGTCAGCCAACTGTGAACTAGACCTGGATCCTTGCTGTGTGACTGAAGCGTCTCATTTTCAGAGATCATGCGGACCGATATTTGATTAAAAAAGGGGAAGAGGCTAATTGGGTCTGGCTTTGACCTGAGGGGGTGAGAGGGAAAGAGAGGGAGAAACAGTGCGTTAGAGATATCTGGAGATGGAGGCTAATCTAATTATTCTCACCCGTTAAAGCAGTGGCAACGGGATTTCATGAATACATCCTGCTGTGCGTGTGTGTGTGTGTGTACCAATACTAATGTGTGTAAAGCACAGGCTTTAACTATCCTAAACTAACCTCTGGAAATGGTTTGAGCAATCAGACTTGCAACAAATTTTGATTTTTGTATGTTTTCACAAACATTTTATGTGGTTTTAACCAATCAGTTATGTAATCAAAAGTAAATTGCAAAAATAACAACAATCTTTTTTCATTATTATATTTATGAAATATTATATTTATTTATTTCTGAATGGTCGCAAAATGCATTTTTGTCTTCATTTTAGGACTATGTCTAACTTTTAAACTTAAAATGCTAAACTTTTACCTCTGTAACCCAGTGTTTTTATCATTAACTTAAACTATTAAAAAGTAGTGATCATTTTGATAATTGAAATACACCTGAAATAAAATACATTAGATAAAAATCTTAAAATTCGAAATGTTGGCTTGGCAACAAATGTTGAAATGTTTAAGTACTAAAATTACAAAAATAAAACTAAATAGAAATATTTGTAAAAAATAGTAAAAAAAAAATGAGCACACTACAAAATTAGTAAAACTAAAATTAAAACTAAAATTATATAATCTAATTTGTAATATTTATATAAATAATACTAAAATAACACTAGTCTAAACATATAATATGTGGAAATTGCGGTACATTATAAACAAATCAATTTAAGTTTCTTTGAATTTGTTTGAAATGTATTCAACCGTCATCGCTTGTTAGGTTAGGTAAATCCTGCATATGTTAGTGAAAAAAAAGAAAAGATGCTGTTTCCCCATGGTCTTGTGTGTTGGTACATGGCTTCCATTAAAATGCCAGTGTAAGTGCAGGCAGAACAAACACTACTCTGTTTCTCTCTATCTGTCTCTCCTCCCCCCTTTCCTTCTCTTCCACTGGTCGCCTCAGTTTCAGGTTGCTGATGTCTCTCATCTTCCCCCAACCCCACACACATAGATGCTCTCACAGTCCAGTCACTCTGTCTTGTTTAGGTAAGTCTTTGTAGCCTGAGGCAAGGAGGAGTAAATTTACTTAGCAGACAGAGGGTGGGTTTGGTGTCTGTGTGTTATCTCTGGCATAGCACAGAGAATCTTTAGGTGTGTGTGTGTGTCCAAATGTTGAACTGTTTTGGCTCCATGGGACACACTGGTAACTGCTCATACTTTGGTTAATTTGGTTGATGTTGTAATCAAGATTATAAGAGTTAAATCATATAATTTACAATTGAAATATTCATATTTTAATAGTAGTCTTACAATCCAATCAAACATCAATGAATAAATCAAAATCTTTACCACTGAATATTTGGTTTCATCTTACATATGGTAAATGTCCACATAGGGCCTGGTGTAGTAAATGAATAAGGCAAGATTTGGAAGCTCAGAAGCTGAGGATTGTCAGTGGGAAGATTGTTTATTGAGAGAAGGAGCTTTGAACACCCCCAGTTGAAGCCTAGGATCAAGCTTGTGTCAAAAACGTGGAGTGAGAATGTGTATTTGAGTGGGTGAGGATGGTGTACATTGGTGGTCTGTTCTGCCAGATGAGCCCAAGCGTTCCCTTCCCCCAATTCAAGAGATGTTCAGAATGACACCGCCTTGTGCTCATCAGTTGTAAAGAGAAGTGTGGAGTTGGCTAGAGGGAATGGAACAAGCAATGTTTTATTCCTTCAGAATAAAATAGCTTTCTTTCTCTCACTCTTCCTCTTTGTCCACAACATTTTCCCAACATACCCATGAATTTGCTGTCATTCGATTGCTGTCTTCAAGAAGAAACTATTGAAGTTCTGGCTAGGGTCCCACATGTGCCACTGGTTGGCTCAAAAACAACAAACTAATTGTGTGTTTCTGTGTGGGTGGATGGATGTGAGAAAGTTTGTGAGGATCTGTGGAGAATCTCATATTCATCACCTCCTGTTTTTAAGTATGGGTGTCTCCATCTGTCTCTTGCATTTGGCATTTCATCCTGGCACAAGTTAAGCCCAGCCACTTAACATTTTTATTTCTTTCCTGTTCTAGGTGAGTCTGGATTGGGCAAATCCACGCTTATCAATTCCCTCTTTCTGACAGACCTGTACTCCAAAGACTACCCTGGCCCATCTCAAAGGATCAAGAAGACTGTTCAGGTATGTCCTATTTAGCTGACCTTTGACTCCTGATACTGATCCAGTGGTCTTCCCTTTATCTACCACTGTCTCTACGTTAGTGTTGCTCTCTCTTTCTTCCTTTACCTTTGACCCTTTATCTAAAGCCACCATTATCTTCCACTGCCTTGCAGCCAGATGTGACATAGAGAAGCCATGAGGGAGGCTACTGAGGTCTGATTTCTTATTCTCTACCTTGGACTGGGAGTTGGCAACCTTTTTGTTTTGAACAAAGTGCACCATTCGAGTGGGACTGTGCTACCTAACTGACCCATTCAGCTGTGCAACCCTCTGTATAATGCAGAATACATTTTCTTGCATTCACCCACTGTTGTGCTGCAGGAACCAATTTTTGGTCTGTCTGAGGTGATCTTGTGGTTGAAACTGGTTTGCATGGCTCTATCGGCAAGTAAACAAATCCAGTCTGTGTTATCCATGGTTTGCACTTTTGAATTTTTAAGTGCTTCTTGTTAGATTAGCTGCATGGCTATGAGGACGGATCGGGGCTTATTGCATTAATCACACTCACACACCAAAGATTGCATTTTGCCTCATCAAGATCAAGTCAACCAACAATCAAGTGCATTGAGACAGTTGGAGTGCAGAGCACCAAGCAGGCTCAAGCAATCACAAACAGATTCCTGCCTTCTGAAGGTCCCAGGCCAGAGCAAATGCTCCCAGACTTCCCAGAGGAAAGAGACAGCAGAGTTTTGACCTTATATGGATTTGATAAACAAGGCAAGAACAGATGCTGAGGCTGGAACATCAGAAATGGGGGAGGATACACTGAAAAGAGCTTGCGGTATGGTGGAGTGTCTCAATTGGAGTGTTTTTTGAAGAGGATGGGAGGGGCAATATGAAGGGGTCTAGATTTTTCTGGAGGTATGTAGGGTTGAGTAGAAGGTCAAGAATTTTCCCACGAAACCCAACACCCGGCAATGACTTTCCCACCACCCTTGAGATGGGACATATTCCGAGGCGTCCCAGCCCTTTCTGGTGTTTTAAGTGCAGTCACTCTCAGTTCTCCTTTATCTTGATGAACAAACTAACTAAATCAAGACTAAGTTCACTGTTGATGTTCGGACTTTGGTCAGGTTTGTATGAAATGACATGTCCTTTCTGAAGCAAGTTATTTCACTTCTGCTCCTGAAGCCACTATCCTGCAGAGTTTAGCTCCAATCATAATAAAAAACACATGAACCAGTTAATCAAGGTCTTCAGGATTACTAGAAACTTAAAGGCAAGTGTGTTAGAGCTAAACTCTGCCAGATATTGGCCCTCCAGGAGCAGGGTTAGACACCCTCGCATTAATGTCAAATCACTAATAAAATCTGACTGATATCATAACTGGTCCATAATAACTGGTATCATAACTGGTCCAGCAAATGCACGTGTCACTTGTAGCTGCCTTGTAAAACCCTGTCCCCAATGTTGCCCTAAGTCCTTGCTGTCCTCTTCCAAGTCCACACTTTAATGATGTAATGCCACATAGACTGTTAGGATTCAAGTCGGCTGTGAAGACAGCATCATTGAATGTTCCTGAGCACCCTTCTGAAACCTAAAATGACAAATGTGACACACTCCGGCCTCACTTTACATACACAGGACAGGGCTTCAAATATGGCAATTTATTTCCACTCATTTTTTTTAATGAGTAGCCCGTGTTCTCATGATATTGTATCTGGTGGTCACATGGATCAAAGTTTGGTGGGTGCTTGTTTAGGGTTATTTGCTTTTCTCACCGTTGTGCAGAAACCGACCAAACACAACCTCCAAATCATCTTACAGTCTGAATCCAGCAACTGTGGCATCTGTCACCCAACATCTAAACAAATCCGTTCTCGTTTGGAAAGATGAAGTAAAACCAGGGGACATTGCTTGCTCCCTCTGGAATTGAATAGAAGATTCTTCCAAGGCGGCACCTCTTTGTTTTTACCACAAACTACTCACGTTTTGCCTGGATTTTACAAATGAAATCTCTGACATTTAAAATTTTCTCCTGTCCATGCTTTCCTCTTCAGACCCCATTTAACCTTCTCTGGCGCTTTCCCTGGTGGAAGGATGCTTTCCGCCATACACTTTGTCTTGAGTTGTTCCACCATGCATGCCCTTGATATAAATTTGTCAGCCTGGCCAAAGGCCATGTGGTGATGTGTGGCTGTCTGGTCCTCTGTGGTCACTTTAGGCAGGACATAGAGTCAGCAGCGAGAGTATTTATATTCCGAAAACAATCTGCAGTGTTTGTTAAAGCAGCCACACAAGGGCCACTCTGGTTGCGTCGAATGAAAGTCTTGACATTTTTGTGGCTTTGTTTCTACATTTTAATTTATTTCTGTTTCTGTGTTGTTGCAAAATGAAGTGGCCTGATGTGCCTCATAAACATCCTCACATGAGCAAGAATAGAAGGGTTTTATCCACTTCTCTTTCTTCTATTTCCTTCATTTTTTCTTTCTCTCACTTAAGTCTCCTTAAGTCTCTCCTTTTTCTCCTTCCCACTCTCTCCTCTTTTTGAAGAACTAAGAAAGGTTGTGGTTGTTTTTGCTAGTGAGAAAGTGCATGTGTGAATGAGAGTGCAGTGCAGTTTTAGAAAAAGAGGGTCAGCCAAAAATAACCAGGTTTGTGAGAATAAGCCGGTTTTTACTGAAAGCAGCTGAAATAATTTCAGGAGATGATGAAGCTGAATCATAGTGACATTGGAGATGACTATTTCAGTGTCTCACCTTGGTGCCTAACACTGGCCTAACCTAGAATGCAACTAATGCACATGATAAAAAAATGTAGAAGATGGTGCAGAAACTCTTGCGAGACCACATTTGTTGCTAGCAAGAGGAAGGATGACGATTTATTACTTGACGTCATTTTAAAAACATGAACTTGTTTGTCTGTAGCAGCAATTAATTTAAATATGCATCTTTTAAAGGGGTCATATGATGCGATTTCAAGTGTTCCTTTCTCTTTAGAGTGTTACAAGCTGTTCGTGAATAGATAAGATCCCTAAAGTTGCAAAGACTAAAGTCTCAAACCCAAAGAGATATTCTTTATAAAAGTTAAGACTCGTCCATGCCCTCCTAAAACGCCTCGTTTAAACACACCCCCACATATCTACGTCACTGTGTGGGAAGATTTGCATAACGCC